GCTTTTGTCAGTGCTGAAACATTTTCGGTAAAACCTGATGGCTTTTGTCAATGCTGAAACATTTTCAGTAATGGCTTTTTTCAATGCTGAAACATTTTAGTATATTTCAGGTTTTTTTTAAATTGCTCGCTCCTCTTGTTGGCCTTCCTGTCCAGCTCTCTTGGAGCAACATGTCCTGTTGTTTTGACCCCTGTAGCAGAAAAAAGCACCACTTTGCATTCTGCATGGTGTTCATCTAGGGGTTAAAGCATGCATAAATTACCATTTGATACATCAAACTGGACACAGTGGGTCAAAGGCAGGTGACCCTTGTCCATCCACTACATCGTTTGGGACACATACTGGTCATGGACTAAAGCTACTTATTAATATTTCATTTGCATTATATGTGGGCTGTATTATGAGAAATGTCCCTAAAACTAAAAACATGGATCTCTACTGCCTGCAGCTGTACAATAACATCATTTAGAGTAGCTAGTATACTAGAGAGTGTGGAGGAGCACCGTAATGAAAGTAGATAAAGAGACAAACAGAAGGAAAGTATTCTCAATAAAATGCATATGAAATTTAAGAAATACGTATAATTTGTTTTCAGTTAGCATTACACCTTTTTGGGTCATGTGTCTTAGCAAGTTTTCTTTTTTAACCATAAAAAGTCTGCATCACTCTGTTTATGGATAATTGACTGTTCATCTTTTCATTTTGAAACACTTTAAGGTATGCTTATGCTATGCTAGCAATGAAGGAGAAGACAAGACAATCAGTAAACTGAACACTTTGTAAAAACCTTGTGTTGCTTGTATTTAATATAGCCACCCATTGAACAGCTCTCTCTGAGCTGCCTGTGTCTGAAGCTCTAAACATTGCTTCCCCAGCTGCTATGAAACCTGCAAAAACTGCATGTCCATCTTTATTTAACTGAGGATCCCTGTGGCTGTTTGGTTTAGATGTAATGGACCTGCTCAGCTTTGAGCTGCTGAACGTGCACTCCCATGAATATGAACACGTCCATGAGACACAGCTGACACACAGTTCCACTTCCATGCGCACCCAGCACTGACTGCATCTATCTGTTTGGCTCTTTTAAGTAAATTCAATTTGGGATTCAATTTCTTCAGCGGTAGAGGTAATGCGGTTGTCATGTTCAATAAGAGATTGTTTCCCCTGTGAAGAGTTGCTTTTGTATACTAAAAAGCCGTTTGACAAGGTTGTGCTCTGCGCACTGGTGGAGAAGAAATGTAAAAAATATTCATGCTTTGTCATCTGCTCAAGAAGACGTGTAAAAAAAAGGAAGTCTAAACTGTAAGTACTGGTAAATTCCACCGTCTTGCCGAACGGTAGCTGATTCACGTCCCTGTTTGAAACAAATTTACATATTTTCCCCCTTTTTCCAAATGTAGTCAGTCAAGACAGGGTTGGTGTCTGAAGTTTGCTAATGTAGCTAAAGAACATTTACCTCACCGATTAGCTTTGGTCAGAGTCTGAAGAAGAGTGTGAAAGCAGGTCTACATCAAATTCTGAACCTGCACCAAAAGCACCAAAAAGGGCTCTTCCATTGTTATGAACCATTTCACCATGCAAAGAAACATTTAAGCATGAAATGGTTCTATATAGAAGTCATGTTTCTAATAGAACCATTCCCTTTACAAAAGAACCTTTCAAGAACCACTTTTTTAAGAGTGTAGCTCATAGAAAAACAGAAAATGGATACGTTAGATAACTTCTATAAGATAATAGCTGATGTGCAGCCTGTTTGGACAGAGTCTGAAGAGGAGTGTGACAGCAGGTCTACACCAAATTCTGAACCTGCCGTTGATCCTAAACAAGCATTTCGCTTAGCAGCTGAATTAGTCAGAAATGAACAGAATACAGTTCAGCAAACGCAATGACGTGTGAAATGCTTTACAGACTAACAAACAAAATGACATTCAGGTTAATCAGGCAAGCACTGAAAAAGCAGAGCTGAACCTGATATTGTGACCAGAGAGTGTCAAGGAGGATTGCCCCTCAGTAATGTCTTCTAGGTTTAAAAAATACAAAAGGGAGCTCCAGAGTGAGTGAAAAATAAATGGGCTACTATGGAACTTATCATAGTTTGTAAATGCACACATTTCTCAACGCTAAGCTAAGCATTTCTCAAGTCTAAACTGTAAGTACTGGTAAATTCCGCCGTTCTGCTGAATGGTAGCTGATTCACGTCCCTGTTTGAAACAAATTTACATATTTTCCCCCCTTTTTCCAAATGTAGTCAGTCAAGACAGGGTTGGTGTCTGATGTTTGCTTCTGTAGATTTGCTCTAGAGCTAGCCTGAGGCTAATGTAGCTAAAGAAGATTTACCTCACCAATTAGCTTTGTGCTAACTGCAGGCAAACATTACACACTTGCCTCAACTGTTAAATTAGCTCACATAGACGTGTTTACATGTTTTCTGATGCTGGATGACATACTGTTATCTATAAAAATGGAAAAAATTCAGGCTTCAAATTTAGCTTTAGCTACTGTTTTAGCTGCATTTTGCGCTATTTATACATAACAGGTTATACAATAGTTTGTTCCAACAGCAGTTAGTTCTCAGTCTGATAGGTTGAGAAGTCTTCTACTCATAAAGATATTTGTGATAAGTGTTTTTTTTTCACAACAACTATCAATCCGACGAGCGCCGACTGCTAGCTTTATGCTACAGCTAACCGTTACTATGTTTTCACTTTACATTCTTAAAAAAGATGGTTCTTCAAGGGTTCTTTAGTAAAGGGAATGGTTCAATTTAGAACCATGAGTTCTATATAGAACCATGTCATGCTGAAATGGTTCTTTAATGGTGAAATGGGTCTTCAGACTAATGGAGAACATTGTGTATGTTCTATATACACCATTGAAAATGGTTCTATATAGCACCAAAAAGGGCTCTTCCATTGTTATGAACCGTTTCACCATGCAAAGAAACATTTAAGCATGAAATGGTTCTATATAGAAGTCATGTTTCTAATAGAACCATTCCCTTTACAAAAGAACCTTTCAAGAACCATCTTTTTTAAGAGTGTAGCTCATAGAAAAACAGAAAATGGATACGTTAGATAACTTCTATAAGATAACAGTTGATGTGCAGCCTGTTTGGACAGAGTCTGAAGAGGAGTGTGACAGCAGGTCTACACCAAATTCTGAACCTGGTGTTGATCCTAAACAAGCATTTCACTCAGCAGCTGAATTAGCCAGAAATGAACAGAATTCAGTTCAGCAAACGCAATGACGTGTGAAATGCTTTACAGACTAACAAACAAAATGACATTCAGGTTAATCAGGCAAGCACTGAAAAAGCGGAGCTGAACCTGATATTCTGACCAGAGAATGTCAAGGATGTCATGAGTGAGTTCTCCATGCTAAACAACATACAATATTTCAAAATACATTGCTTCTGAAAAACAGTTATAGGACTTTCTAACAACGGTTTATGGATGTTCCTGATGTCCATGAGCATTAATTACTTCACTCGCCCTATAAGCTAATTAGCTTGCCAAACAATCAACACTCAGTAGCAGTAATGCTGGCATCCTACTGCCCAAAACCTGTTTGCTGTAAAATAGCGTTGCCCAACCCAGTCCTCAGGGCCCCCAGACAGTCCACATTTTTCCATCAACCCTATGTGTTGTGAGTTAGGTTGAAGCAAAAAGGTAGACAATCTGGAGGGCCCTGAGAACCGGGTTGGGAAACACTTCTGTAGAAAATGTAAAGACAATGATAAGTATTTTCGATTTTTTAATCAAATACTTCTTTCAACTTTCCAAATATGAAAAAGTGTCCTGCACAAATAGTAAGAAACATGTTTCATTTTTTGTTTTTAGCTGTTTAGCTCCATTTAACCCCATTCTTTGAGGACTGTCTCGTGGGCACCCTCTGGCATTTTGCAGTCATGTTTTTAATACAGTGGGAGAAATAGGACGTGACCAGGCTCCCCTTAAACTTAAAACACCTTTATGGCTCTGTCCCGCAAAAGGCTACTACTTCTGTAGTGGAAGGAATCGCAAATATTAAAGCATTTCTGCTGCAAAATCCAGCGCTTCTATATGTCTTTATTTCGCCGAACTGATGTATAAAAGCAATAGAACACCTGAGGTCATGTGTTATCATGACATTACTCACAATAACACTTCCTCCCATGTTCTATTGCTTTAATATCACACAGTGTCAACCACATAAGCAAGTTCAACTCACAACTCAGTGAGGTTTGCTGATGCTATGTGGTGGGTATAGGCTTCCATTACGTGTTAGCTACATTAGCCTTATAGCTATAAATGCAGAACTAAAGAAGCTAACCCGACTGCATTTGGGGTTAAGGGAAAATTGTGTAAATTTTTGGGCGAACATGAGACTCAAGATCCACTATGACTTGTGGGGAGTTCACTTCCTCCAAGAACATTCCTTCCCATTCCCTGAGGACATCAGTGCCAATATATGTTTGACAGCCACTGAACTTATCACAGGCCGGCACAGAGATCCGTATTGACCTGCGGCCACTCACATTAAGGCCTATTGAGTTTAGAACCACGTCGAGTGCGCTCCCCGAGGAACCAGCTGTAGTGCAAGCTTCATTCGTAGCTATGCCTTTTAAGGACGATCTGTCACAGGCAGCAAAAGATCAATCACAGAATTGACCGCTGACTCTGTTTTATGCATATGACAACCTTTTCCTCAAGGTACACTCCAGGTGAATATGAAGTGGAATCCATTAAAGAGGTACACATACAGATCCTTTTGATAAGTTACGTTATCCAATGTTTGTAGTGTTTTAAGTGGAGCTTTTAAGGAGAAATGGACTTCTGTGTTTTGCCTTCATTTGAAAGAAAAAGCCTTTTCTGACACGATTTCGGACCAGTGGAGTCCTAATGTGTGTTCTATAATTGACAAATTAACTTGTCAATCACACGATTAAGTGAATAAAACGAGGTACTGCTGATGGCCTGAAAAAGAAAGGCATTATTCTACAAGTTATCTGGAAAAACGACTGTATTCGCATCATTTATTTCTTTGTAGTAACACAACAGAACATAACTGAAACACATCTCAGCAGTTTTTAAAAAGGCTTATATGTATTAGTTCAATGACCATAAACTCCTTTTTGCGCATTCAGACACACAAAGAACAAACATCTGCAGAAATGACTTTGACAGTTCTATGAACAGAACTAAGTATGGGACTGTTAGCTCAAACTAAAACTGCTAGATTTAATGGTTCTACAAAACAAAAATCCTCTCTGAAACGCTGATTTGGCCTTTTCAACCAGCTCATACATGTTACAGTCCAGTCCGCAGCTAGTCTGTAGATGAGGGTAATGTGGTTGTGTGGTAATCTAAAAAGGTCATTTTTCTTCATCATCATCGTCGTCCTCATCTTCTGTTGATCCTCCCCAGCTGAGCAGAGGTCTGCGGTCAGGAGGAACAGACGGTTTGATCTTCTGCCACCGGTTTGGGGGCCAGATGATGTGAGACGCTCTGCCATGGAGGAGCCCAAGAGAGACCTGCGGAAAGGAAGTCAGTCCTGTTTAATGGCCTTCTACCATCAGAATAGAAATGAATAATTTCACTGAAGAAACTGATTTCCAGAATAATTTACATAAATTCACTACAAAGACAACTGTCTATAAGATATCTATTTTCCATCTGTTTATAAATAGAGCTGGGCATTGAAATTCAATAATTAAGGTAGCAAACAAAGCGCTTTCAACAGAAAGATTGGTAACACAATCATGGCAACTGACATGAACCTACAAACATCTATCTAGAATATATATATATTTCTCGCTGCTGTCCATACAAAACCTCCTATCTCCAAAATGGTAACTTTACAGGAGAGGAAAAAAACACACTTTACTTTTAAAGGAAGTCAATGGAACCAGACTTTTTTCCAAGTAATTTTGGGCAGTTTCTTTTGGTCCATTCATCATTAAATTTACAAACAATGTAAAAAGCAGCAGGCATCTTCAATTTATGCCAAAAACTGCAAAACATTAAACATGGAGATACAAGGTTTTGTTGTGACAGCAGCGATATACATATATATATAAAAAAAACACAACCTAATGTCCAAAAAAAAATGTTACCTGACACAGCTGGTACATCAACCCGACATCAAAGCTGGCAAATGTGTTAAAATTGTTTTCGCTAGCATTTTTAGTTTAGTTGTTCTGTTTTCAATGGGAATGCACCTAAAGATGCACTGAAAAAGTTCTGAAAATAATCAAAAACAGCACTTGAGTGAAAAAAGTATAACAGTGAACTGTCAAAATCTAAGACTTTACCATTTTTTTAATGGTAATAAAACAGAGAAATACTTATTAAAAGAGTACTTTTTTAGTTTACCCTGCTGCGCTGGTCAGCGCAGATGCATTCAAACAGTCTGAGCAGCAAACGATCAACAGTGGAAGTGTTGGCCATGTGGAGCCATCTCATACTCTCAATGAGGAATATGGTTTCATGAAGGACCAGTAATTTATACTCATTGTTCATACCAAGAATGTCTGGGCTACAAGTCTGATACCACTTAAAACTTGAGGACTGTGGTAGTACATTTTTTTCACTGCTAGTTTTCCTTTAAGTGATAGTTTTCATTAAGAATAATAAGCCTGATCAGTGTCCTTGAGCCAATAAGCATTCTTTTCCTAAAATCCAGACTGCTGACTGGCTCTGTAAATTACATGTCATAAACACTCAGAAAAACACACTACAGTAAACACTCCTGGACTGCTGGCTCAAGTGAGTATTGTGTCATGTTGACAAGAGTTCAAAAAAGAGTTCTAACCTATTGGTATCAATTGGTATCAGTATCAGCACTGAGATATTTTAAAGTGTATCCAGTCCTATTTGGGGTATGGAAGAAGAAAATATGACATCATCATCATGTCTCTTATTTTTCAGAGATGAGATGCACTTTCAATTTCCCCCTTCTGTGAAGTGAAATCACACATTCTTTAACGCTCCTCAGCTAAAAGGATCAACCAGAGCATATGTTCTTTCAACCATTCAATATAAAGTAATCTATCTTTCAGCTGAAAGAGAGTGAAAGCGTTTGCGGAAGTGCTGAAGGCCAGGCAGAGCTAGTAGAGCTTACTGCTCTCAGAATAGGCCCATTTGAAGGCTTTTTTCAAATACCTGGCCAGGCTGGAGAGGATCAGAGGGAGAATAGAGCTCCAGTACACCCAGAACAGTACATGGATAAATGTAGTATATAATAACTATAATAACTTCTTGTTCTCAAAGTACTTTAAAGATTGAATTAAACATACAGTATCTTAAAAAGGTTTGGAATCAATTTCTCAATAATATAAAACCAATTTGATTGCAGATAAATGTATAAAATGATAGTAATATGTGAGTCTCCTCTACAACTTCACAGCTTTCAAATGCTTAGTAGGACTCTAGCTGTGAAAAATGAATGAATATTGAATAAAATGTTAGATGTGTCCAGAATGAGGAAACCTGTAGGAGACTCTAAACTCACTCAGAACACTGTAACATTGAGAATGAAGTTAAAATCAAATGAATATCCAGGATTCATCACTTCAAAAGTGAAGATCAAATCTCAGGGCAAATAAGTTGACAAAAAAATGGAATGTAAATGGATAATTACAGTACATTTACATTTATGGCATTTGGCAAACGACTTACAATTTGATCATTTTACACAGGTAGGCGAAGGTAGTGTTAGGAGTCTTGCCCAAGGACTCTTATTGGTATAGTGTAGGGTTCTTGCACAGGAGGGGGATTGAACTCCAGTCTGCAGAGGTGTTATCCAGTACACTATACCAACCTACCAACAGTATATTATGTATCATTTAAAGGGCCCATGTCCTACATTTTTTTATTTTGTCCAGTGAGGTCCACTTACAACATTTATACCCACAAATTAAGAACCAAAACAGCTGGTTCCTTTTTACATGATTATTTCCGAAGATCTTTATATGCCTTAGAACAGAGATGTCCAAACTTTTTCCAAAGAGGGCCAGACTGTACTGTGTTAAAATACCTGAGGGCTGACATATTATTCACAAATGATTCAAAATATTAAGTTTTCAAAATAACAGTGCATAGAATCAGCTTTCTGTTTTTGTTTGATCTTAAAGGGTGAATATTTACTGAACTGCTGAATTCGCTCTGATCCTGTATTGTGACAGACCTAAACTGCTGCAGGCTGAATAGGTGGCTATATGTAAATGGGTTGGTTTTTGTGACATCACAAAAACAGTGAATTTAAAACAGACTGTTTCTGCAGCTTAGTTTCCATATGCGGACTGCGGGGAGTGAACAGTACATTTTGCAAATTTGACAATGTTTAAATACTACATCAAATTCATGAGGTGAAGAAAACCTACAACTCTCTTTAATTCAGTGCCTCAGTATTTGATGCTTTGCTTAATTATATTCTTAGCTAATTTTACTAACACAACATAGCGTGAAGGGCAATGTGCAACAGCAGAGGTTTAAATCGCTCACATGCTTGTTAGATTTTTTTTTAACTACATACTGAAGAAAAACAAATTACCTTCCCTGTCCCTCAACTCCCAGCCCTCCACACCCCCATTCACCCCATAATGCATCAAGTCAAGGTAAAAGTGCACTCTACAGTAAAACAGCAAAAACCCACTGCCTGAAACGTCCAACAGGAATATTTCTTTAGTGATATATGACCTGACAGTGTTTTGGCAAATACATCTTACACACCACTGTACGCTGCAGCCTGTTCCCTGGGGAGCCCGGCCAGCATTCTGGGAAACGGACGTGTAACAATAATAAAAGAGACCCTGCAAGTGTTCACTTCAGTGAGAAACTTATTCATTTTCTTCCAGACAAGAACCATCATTTAAAAATGTGCCAGAGGACAAATACTGCAGCCTCGCTAAGCCTCCGGCTATGGAAATGGGAGAGGGGCGGGGGGAGGCCTGACCAAGGACGAAACTGAAAAATGCTGGAGTGCAGAAAACATGTCTTTTAAAGCTCATTTTTACTGGCAATAACCTAAAAGATGGCCCTCTATACAAGCAGTGTGATATCTAAAAGGTTTCCCACCAACTGGTACAGGAACTGGTCACATCATGCTTTAAGCAGACGGAAGATAAGAGGGCAGAGTGATAGAGAAACACTGTTCTTCTCAATAATGCATTTAAGGGGCTCTAAAGCAAAGAGCTGTTTCAAAATGGCCTCTCACATCTCCGTATCACGGAATGGTCTCGGAGGGCAGCGGAGCATGGCGAGGCTGTAAACAAAGGCCTCAGGAAGCAGCACTTTTCTGTGTTCCCTAAATTTTTCATACACTTCTTTTTGGAGCTGTGTCTGTCTATAGAGGTAGCACAAGGAGAGGAAGTGATTGCGCCTCAGCAATTGCTGACTGAAAGCACTGTTTTTGTGTGGGACGTTTCTGTTTTATCACAGAAAAAATACAGAATTGTATTCCACACTGCAGCATTCTTACTACAATGTGTTTTCCATGGTCAGCTGAGGTAAAAATACAATATGAGAAAAGAACGATTTACCGGTCCAAATGTATTGCTGTCGAAGCTGTGGCCGTGATGATCGCCCTCGATCCACAGGTGTCCGTCTGGAACCCTTACGTAACGGTTTTTATAGCCCAGAGTCCTGAAAACAACCAAACAAGCTGGAGTTAAAATCCACTGATGTTTCAAAATTGCTGCATAATTAAATCGTTATGGAACTCAAACTGTTCACAGTGGAGGTGATAGGAATCAGACGTCTGAGGAATTTAATGCCTCCCTCACAGAAAGCTGGTTAGAAATATGCTGCCTGATGCCTGAGACATTGTTTTCTGATAGGTTTTGGCCTAAAATGCATTTTTTTTTAAAGCCATTCATGGCAGGTAGGTATATGTAGGGTGTTCTAATGCAAAATAATCCCCAAAGAAAACATATTTTTTCAGATCTGCCAACATTATCAACATAACATACAACAGCTCAGAAGACATGTTTTGGTTTACTGGTCATCTTGGATAGTAAATATCAAAATATATATTTGTGAATATACATTTGCATCCTAGCCATCGAAACCCCTGGTTCCTATAACCACCATTACATAGAAATACCAGTTGGTAAGTTTTTTACTTTCACATTTAACACTCTAAATCACTTTGTTTGCCTCTCAATGACTGAATTTTGCATAAATTTAGAGAAGTCAGTGAAATTTCCTTTTAAACGCACTTGATGTAGAACCAAAACAAGCGCCTGTATTAGTTATGGTGCAGTCAGACGGCTTTTGTTACTTGTAAAAGGTTTGAGGTTACCACAAGGAAGTTATAAATACAAGTGCTAAACGTGGACAACTCCACATTACTCAAGTTTATGAGTTGCTGCGCATTGCCAGCCAGAACATTCTCCCAGAGCACATGAGCACAGTGACAGATCATGCCCCAAAATAATGGTGAAATATAAAGAGTAATGTGCAAAAGTCTTAGGTAGCTAAGAAAACTCTTTACAACTATTTATGGTCAGTGGTCAGTGACTAATACCTAAATACCTTAGCTATTATCTACTGACCTGGATAGACTAATCAATGCTTCAGTAAATTAAGTGAGGGCTGTTAAGGGTGAATTTGAACAAAACTATGTTATGGCCGAGGACACTGAGGAGAAATCTGGAACCAAACCTCTGTTCTAACAAGCTCACAACATCTCAAGAAATTCTTGTTACTTTTAATACATTTATGCTTGTGTGTTTGTATTTATTACAATGCCCCCCCACACACACACAGTCATATGCAAAGGTTTGGGCACCCCTGGTCAAATGTTTTGTTGATGTTCTAAGTGAAAATAATCTTACACATCTCTACTGAAACGCACATTTTAATACACAATTAATGCTTATTTGAAGATTTAACATATTGGGAAAAATTAAGACATGAATTGCGGCCTGTACAAACATTATAGCACATTTTACATTCTATGTTTTATTTTTTCCCAATATGTTAAAAGCAGCAAATGCATATAAACTGTGCACTAAAATTGGCAGAAAAACGCCATTGGTTTGTTCCCGGAGGGATGTGTTATTTTTCCACTTAGAAAATCAACAAACCATGTAATTTGACAGTTTGACATGTTTGTGTAGGTGTGTATATATATCTGAATCTTTATTCACCAAGTACCAGGTGTATAAGAAATTTCTCTAAGTACAGATGTCAACATAAAACTAAACCTAATTAAATAAATACAGAAAAAGACATACTATATATAAACATGAAATAATACACAAACAAACTGTAAGTAAAAGGGTGTGCAAGAAGAGATAAGCACAGATGCAATCAAGTGCTGAGGTACATATATATAGTATGTACAGCTGAGCATACATATATATATATATATATATATATATATATATATATATATATTCAGAAATGTAAACATATTTCTAAACATGCATACTGCAACAAGTTAAAGTGCACATGTGCACTGACTACAGTAGAGGAAAGTGGGAAAGGTTCTTATTCAGAAAGATTATGGCATGGGATGGACAGTTATTGTCTGTAATCCAGTGCAAGCGCAGTTTGAAGCTCCTGAGAAAAGACTCTTTGTGTAGGAGGAGGAGGGGTCAGGAGAGTGACCAGGATGTGAGGAAAGAAGCTGTGGAGGAGCTCTCACTCTTGTCTCGCTAAGATGGAGACAGCTGGAAGAGAGAGCATCCTGGGTGTGGGGGGTCAGCTCAAACCTGCCCTCTCCCTCATCCTAGATGAGTAAAGGTCTTCGAGGGTGGAGAGCCAACTGAAATCAATGATCATCTCCAATGTTTATGTGTTCAGCTCCAGGTTGTGAGCTCCACACCATGACTCCAGCTGCGTTACTTCCTCCTGGTACTTGGACTCGTCGTTGTTTGAGATGAGACTGACCAGGGTAGAGTCATCCGCAAACTTAATATGTTTTACAGAGTCACTGTCAGAAGTGCAGTCATTGGTGTAGAGAGAGTAGAGCAGAGAAGTGAGCACACATCCCTGTGGAGCACCAGTGCTGAGGCAGAGAGGGTCTGAAATGTGGTCACCCACCCTGACATACTGTTTCCTGTTAGACAAGAAGTTGTAGATCCAGTAGCAGACAGATGAGACAGACATCCGAACGCACCATCAAACAAAGCAATACCTTATTTTTAACATTTTGTGCAACTACAGCATAGCGCAACTTAAGAGTGTTCATGCAAGTTTTCTCAATTCTCCTTAAAGGACTGACAAGATATAGGACCAAAACGCAATATCCCGCTTGCCACGAGCTCCGACATTAATTTTAGACCAATAATTAACGCCCACACACCAAGGGCAATCTTTGTTTTTCCAGATGAATCTGAGAGGCGCCAATGTCTCATATCTGTAGTGGAGCTCTGGGACGGCTCGTGTGTAATTGGTCAGGGGCTGAGAGGCTTCCAGCACGAGCAGGAAAAGAGAGAGAGCCACATTAAAGACATGATTCAGATTTACTGCTGTGTGGCCCACAAGCAAACAGAGACATGACTCAACTACAGTGCTCTTTCACTGCCATCATATTACAGCCTTTCTGCTCTTTCCTGCAGACGGCTGTAAGGTTGGCTCCTCTATGAACAACTTGTGAACAACAACAATTAGATTGCTGTCGTATTCCATGCCAGTGCCATTAAGAATGGTATAAGAAGTGCCTGAAGCCATGCCTAACAGTAAATATTCACGCCCTCATCTGTAGTCACTGAGAGCACCACTACTGGGCTAATTAGGTCTCAATATGTCAAATTCATGCGCACTGAAACTCCTCAGGCATTGAGTTATTAGGGTCAAAACAAGCTCATCACTATTAATGCCCAAGCAAAGTTTACAAGCCAAAGATTTATAACTCACAAATAAAATGTGTTTTGAAAATATGTAATGATTTTATATAACATTTAACAGGGCACTAAAACACCCTCAGTTTACTGTTATTGACTTTTCATGGCTTAGTGTGTAATTATGGTGGCCTAAAATAAAGTGTTATGCAACCCGCTACTAATGTCGTCCACAGACATCACTGCGAAAAGACCGAACCTTTACTAAATGGCACTGCTGTCAATTGATGGGGTCTGAGGAGTCGTTAAAGCGCTGCTGTCCACCATCGTTGGACAGATTAAAAAAAAAAGAAAAAAAAAAACTAACAGCCATTTCAGCAAAACACTGCTACGTATCTCATAACCATCACGAAGGTAATCAATTTCACAGAGCCATCAGGGCTGGCATTTCAGCGGTGGATTCAAAGATCACCTTGAGATGTGACACAGACGAGCATGGGCGATTTAATGAGTGAGGTCACCGTTAATCTGTATTCAGAGCGCGCAGCATTCAGAAGGAATATGTCAGGACTGGGTTATTATATGTGATCACAGGTTTTATGTGGTTTTCTCTGTTAAGTGGCTGATGTAATACCAAAGACATTAAACACAGTGTGTTTAAGAGTTGCCTACCAACACATGAAGATAATAAAACCGAAAAGTTCAAAGTTTTCTATACCAGACTTTACTGTCCTTAGTATACCACTGCAAGGCCTATATTACACCTTCAGCAGGCATATCCTAGGACCCACGTGTCAAACACCACATCAGGCCATCACACAATTCTATCCAGCCTGCAAAAGTATCTTAATTTTCTATTAATATTAGCCCGTTTCACAATGTGCTGCACTACAGTCCCCAGCATGCACTGCAACGTAATGTGCTCCAACTCTCATACTCCAACAACAGTCTATGGGACAGCGATTACACCTCAATTCTACACAATTTTGCGTATGCATGTCACCAAAATGCATTTCAGCTGCAGTTTAACCAATATGAACACTTAACATCAGCTCAGCAGCTCAGAAATTGAGCCCAAGTCTTAATGAACGTGCAGCAAAGAAAGGATGTCAAGTGCCTAGTTCAAGCAAATAGGTAGGTTTAAAAGACTGAGCACCTGGGGACATTTAAATTTTGAATATTTCAAGTGTCCATGTAATCTTTCAAGGTCTACTACAAGTGAATAAACAATGGCCAGTTCAGGTTACAGAACAACATTAATTAAAAATTAAATAAAAACTTGGCCCACAGATTTAATGAGATTTTTTAACATGGCCCTTTTACTGGTTGAGGTTGACACGCCTGTTGTAAGACATCACATCTTCGAATTTGAAAAGGAATTTTTGCACAATTTAGTTGCTGAGATGTAAACAAAGTCATGTTGAGGGGTTTGATATGAATGGTGTATTCCAGAGAAAGTTAGTGACTTGATCTGGTAATAGGAACTAGGGGTCGTAATGTCTGCAAACTGTTTATTTACCATCCAAAATGACCAGTGAATCTACAGCTATATGGTAAAATAATGGTAAATCAGTGGTAGAATAGTGGTAAAAATACAAAAAAATGGCAGACTATTTTGCTTTATAACTCTCGACTCGCTCATCTCCTCTAAGAATGTATGTTAAAAATACAATTTAGGGAGATCCTGAGTGGTGCAGCATTGGCCCTGTTGTAGGGAGACTGCAAATTGGATCCACAGCAATGACTCTACCATCCATGAGAGCATAATGGTCCTCCCTCCCCCACCGACCCCCATATCACGTAGGCGTCTGTTATAATAGAACTGGCACTTAGCGTTCTCTACTATTGTAAAACAATGTCTCAGGCATCTGGCTACATATTTGTTACATATTTTTTTCATGTAATCACTCTGTGATGGAGCTTCAGACCTTCTGGTTCCTATCACCACCACTGTGAACAATCCTGCCTTTGTTTTCTCTAGAAAAGAGCATTTCAAATGAAACTAATCTGCATGACGTTCACATTGTAGTGATTTAACTGTGCAGAAAAAATGTAAAAATCTAAAGACTTCCTCTTCAACAATAACATTAATACAATGAGGAAACTTAATTGAAAAACTCTACAGTTAAATTTAGATGTATTATGTCTCAAAGTTTAACAATATTAGTAAAATGAGTAAACTTACTTGATAAAGTCTCCCTCGAGAGCAATAACTCGCTTGATGATCTTCTGTTTTGGGTTCTTAGGGGACCTGCAAAAACAAGTAAATAAACAAATTAACAAGCATTAGATGAAGAATTTACAATGCGTCCAAAATAACAGACGGGCCAAGATTAGGAAGCCAAGAATGCAAATTCTACACTCTGATCAAATCTATCTGCCAAACGACTCCTTAGACAAAAAAACGTACCAACTTCACAGAGAACCAAAGAAAACTGCATCTTAGACTTTTTCCTTTAATTCACTTTTAAAGGAAGTTCTATAAAGATTTATTTGAAGACCTAAAAGTTACTAATAAATACAAGTGGAAAAACCTGCTGTGGACTACACGTCTCTCACAGTGAAGCGCTCTGCTAAAACCTCTCTCAATTAGACAGTAGATTCTGTTCTGACATCCTCTCCTCTACTGCGATCTTCTGGCATCTTTTCAGAATCTATACAGAGTGAACAGTTCAGCGAGCTCCACAGCTCCATCTCCATCACTGGCTGTGAATCCTCCTCCTCTGCAGCAGCAGCACACACGCTCAGTGTGATTTGTGTCCTTCATTAGTTTTACAGGCTTCGATATTGCCGGTGTTTATCACAAGTGTTACAAATGGAAAGGCCAGAGAATGCATTCTGATTCAGCCAGCAGAATTAAAGTGAAAGGGAAAAACTGGAAGTGTAGGAGAGAGAAAAAGAGAGAGAGAGAGAGAGAGAGAGAGGGGGGTGGGGGCTTGGAAAACACATTTTAAATAATATGTCTAATAATCTTTAGATTCCTATAGGTTATGGAAGTGGTAAGGGGTATTAGCAGGATGGTTAAAGTTCAAATGTAAACGGATCCCTTTTTATGTCCCATCATATTAAGCATGATTCATCATGCATCATTTACAGTGGTGCATCATGTCTGTTACAGATAGGCCTTCAATTTGGGCCATAAATGTCAAAACTCATTCAAAAACCAACAAAAATACACCTTGTAATAGTTACTGCTGTATGATTTATGTTAACGCTGATGCACATGAACATTTTTGATTGTTCCACATTAAATATGGACATTTGAAGCTTAACGTAAGCTTAACATGACATCGTCATGATGTCTCACTACACACTTCAAAAAGGTGGTGCCTCAAGGGTTCTTTACTAAAAAGAAAATGGTTCTTTATAGAACCATGAATACTCAAAGAATTCTTTGCATGATAAAAGGGATTTTGCATTGTCAAATGGTTCTTCAGATTGATGAAGAATGTGCTGTATATGGTTCTATGTAGAACCTTTTTGAACAGGGTTCTATATAGCACCAAAAAGGGTTCTTCTATGGATACAAGCTTGACATCATAACAGTAGAAGAACCCTTTTTGGTGCTATATAGAACCCTGTTCAAAAAGGTTCTACATAGAACCATATACAGCACATTCTTCATCAATCTGAAGAACCATTTGACAATGCAAAGAACGCTTTAATCATGCAAAGAGTTCTTTGAGTGTTGATGGTTCTATAAAGAACCATCCTCTTTACTAAAGAACCCTTAAAGAACAATCATTTTTAGGTGCTCATATTCATGGTCAGTTAAGTATCTAGAACTTCCAAAAGGCCTAGTGTGACATTTTTTCTCACGACAGTGGTCACACCCACAAATCAAACGTGATTGGTTGATTCCACTGTCAGTGTCTAATTATGTTAGTGGTTAATCTGACATGTTAGGACTTCTGTTCAGCTCCTGAAGTCCTAAACAATGGAGGAGCTCACTTGGCTGCACTGACTTAGATACCACAGAGCAAAAAATCCTGAGCGGACAAATTTCTGTTGGGACAAATTTCTGTTGGGCGTTCCAAGATTTTAACACTTTTGTTTCCCATCAAAACTTAACAATGAAAGTTAAGTATTACCACAATACTTGCAAAGTTTAAGTACAACAAAGAATGATGATTATATTTAATAACAATTTACTAAAAATAATCAACATTTATTTTTTATTTCACAGAAATTATTAGGCATTCTCTGAAGCCTAGAAGGTTCCACACTGCAAATAATACTCTCTACATTACTAAATTATGGGATTTTTTTTCACAGTGCATAACATTTTTTTTTTTTTACTCAAATTGCATTTCAAGACAGTAAAGTGTAATGGCTGCATGGTTAAAGTCAACCTGAAATCAAACAGACCTTCTTATTTGTTAGTTCCTGCTCCTGGTTATATGAAGCTCAATTCTTCATATTATATCATATTTAAAAGACAAATTCTTCTTGTCCTGTAATCCTTGATGGAAGTGTGAGTATTTTTCCCATCTCTACATTGTCTGCTGAGTTTTAACATCACCATCTCCCTTCACCACCTAACATCAAGCAAAAATGCCCTTAACGGCATGTTTCAGTAAGAAATATGCCACAAAAAATGTTATGATTTCGAACTCGCAATGATTTTATTTATTTTTTTTTGGATTTTAACCCAATTTTCTCCCCAATGTAGTCGTCGCCAATTCCACCCGCTAGTTAGGACTCCCCAAGTCACACAATACTACCAACGCTTGGAGGGCGAAGGCTAACACAGGCCACAGAGAGCGAGGCCAATTGTGCTCTCTTGGACTCCCTGATGTGGCTGTAGCATCACCAGGGATTGAACTCGCGATCTCCTAATCATAGGGCCAACGCTTAGACTGTTGCGCCACTCGGGAGCCCATGATTTTCATTTTTTAAACTTCAGGCTTATTATTCAGTTAACAATCTTAAGGCTTATTATCCAGAAACCAAATTATTCAGTAACCACAATGAAAGTAAAGCACCATCAGAGCTGGATTCATTTTACCACAGGAGGTTCTGTAATGTCATTTGTGGTGCTGGACTGGTTCAAGATAAAGTATACAGTCATAT